GATCGAGGATCGAGCATCGATCGAGGGTCGATCGAGGGTCGAGGGTATCGATCGAGGACCGAGGATCGAGGACCGAGGATCGAGGATCAAGCATCGAGGACCGAGGACCGAGGATCGAGCATCGAGCATCGAGAATCATCGAGGATCGAAGATCGAGCGAGGATCCAGGATCGAGGATCGAGGACTGAGGACCGAGGACCGAGAATCGAGGATCGAGGGTAGAGGATCGAGGATCGATCGAGGATCGAGGAAGGATCGAGGATCGAAGATCGAGGATCAATCGAGGATCGAGGGTCGAGGATCGAGAATCGAGGATGGAGGGCCGAAAGCATCAGCGACAGAGTCTTTTATCTGCAGATGTGTCAGACCACATCGCCCAATATTATGATCCCTGATACGAAGAGAATGGGACCTCAGTGAGGCCACGTCTTTATCGTGTTATAAGGTTAGGGTCAGGTCGGGCACGTCCTCCTACAGTGACGAAAAATTAGAAAATGCACAAAAATTGTCCAAAAATCGTCACAGACTGTGTTTTTTGAATATTGTTGAATATTCCTCCTGTAGGGGGACAAGCCCGACTCAAGGTTAGGGGGCCCTTCTGTGCCCGAGGATTGCTGCTGCTGCCCACGGCCAGGGCGGGCGGCCGCGAGGGCCGAGTGGCGCGCGGCGCTGCGCGCGCGCGCGCCTGGTGCAGCGCCCGGGGGCCGCCGGGCCGGAATCCGGAAGGAGGGAAGGCGGCCTGCTGCTGCTATCGGGGATGGACAGACCCCCCTTTACTAAAACGTGGTTTAGTGAAAACGACCTGAGGCCCAAACCTGGCGGGCGCAAGCCTGGAAAATAACGGCCACGGCGCCCTCTCGGGAACCGACAACGGACAATTCACTAATCGACGTGTCACTGTTGGGGGTTCTGTCCACCCCTGATGCTAAGAGAGCGAGAACAATCGGGGGGGCACGGGGGGGGAGGGGGGGGGGCAAAGGTGGGGCTGGAGGGAAAATCGCTCTGGACGGCCGCTGGAAGAAGGAGATGCGTGGAACGGAAGCATCCAGCGGGGCCCGTTCCCCAGCCCACCTTGAGGTAACCCTCCCTCTATCCGAACCCCCGAAACAAACGGCACCAGCATAAACTATTAATGGTGCGCGTGGATTTCTTGGACCTGAGCTGGACCCCCCTCCCTGGCGCGCGGACCGCGCCAGGCGCGGCGCTGGAGGCACCGCCAGGGAGGTCCCGACGCAGATCCGAGAAACCCGCGCGGACCGCCAACGTGTAGATTTATGAAGCTTGCTGCTCCTCGAGGTGAGGATACATCGAGAACCTCTGAGATCCGGCGGCTATGGAGGATGTCTGATGGGCCTGTTTTCCACCACCACCACCACCACCACCATAAGTTGTAGGGGGGAGGGAGGACGAAGATGAGGAGGAGGAGGAGGAGGAGGAGGACCCCCTCCCCCTCCTACGTATGGTGGTGGTGGTGGAAAACTTGCCCATCAGTGTCTTGGGCGCCGCTGCCTTCTCGGAGCGTTCCGGGACTCCCTGAGAGCATCGTTCTGGAATGCTCTGGAGCGGATTCGTCCTCGTCCCAGCCCAGTCCGAGATGCCCCCGCGGGCGGGACACCCCCAGGGGGCAGCACACCGTGTAAGTCGGGCATGCCCCTTCTACGGGAGGAATATTCGACGATATCTCAAAAAATAGTCTGGCGACGAGTGTTCGTGCTTGTTCGACCATGTTTGATTATTTGCTGACTGTGCTTATCTTTCTTCCCAGATTTGGGCGCCCGAATTATCTGGGGCAACCCGGGCCCAGGGTAACTCGGTTTCGGATTCCCGGAAAACGAACCCGAGTAGCCCTGACCCGAGTTACCCCTGATGATTCGGGGCTCTGGGCGCCCGAGTTATCCTGGGTAACTCGGGCCCGGGGCAACTCGGTTCGGATTCCCGGAAAACGAACCCGAGTAGCCCTGACCCGAGTTACCCCTGATGACTCGGGGCTCTGGGCGCCCGAAATATCCAGGTTAAATCGGGTCCGGGCTAACTCGGGTTCGGATTCCCGAAAAAAACGAACCCGAGTTAGCCCCGACCCGAGTTACCCCTGATGATTCGGGGATCTGGCAGGTCACCCTGCAGGACATGCCCGACCTAACATGTCACCGAGATATCGGGGGGGGAGCCCTTGGACCGACAACGAGAATAACCAACATCCGGAGGCAGCAAGGAGGACGACGATGACCAGGGGAAGATATGAGGAGGAGAGGGAGGAGGAGGAGGAGGAGGAGGAGGAGGAGGAGGAGGAGGAGGAGGAGGAGGAAAAAGAGGGGGAGGACGAGAATGAGGAGGAGGAGTACGGCGATGACGACCAAAACCTGGTCTCGGGATCGGTCTCTGGGCACCTGCCAGGTCCACCCTGGCCCGTGTCTGCGAGCCGCGCGGGGCCGTGGCGGCGAGAATCGCCAGAGGCGCTCCAAGGACCTCGACGGCGACCTCGATCGCGACCACGACGGCGATCCAGGCGAACGTGTTCACATTCGGCGTACATTGGGCGAAAGGCGGGGGGGGTCTGGCTCCGGATCTCTGCTGAGTGCGACGGGTTGAAGCAGCGCCTCGCTATGGGGAGTCCTAAGGGGAATATGGGGAATCCGGTTTGGGAGTCCGATGCGGGAATCCTGTCCTGTGTGAGTCCTGTGGGGGATCTTATGGGAAATCCCTTGGGGGAATCTCGTGGGGGGAATCCCATTACGAATCCCATGCGGAAATCGTGTGGAGGAGGGGGGATCCTACAGGAAACCCGAATCCAATTAGAACCCATTCGGAATCCGATTGGAATCATCAGGATTTGCAGGTCCAGAGGATCCCACAACAACCGGCTACCCCTGTGGGCATGCTTCGTTTGCAACCCATCCGGCGCCCTGGAGCCCCTTTCTATCTTCCCGAAGCCGCCCCGAAAACACGATACACAGTTCCGCGAAACAACGACTTGCGTGTCCACCAGGGGGTTTGGGAAAGCGGGGCCCCCGTGATTACTCCACCTGCTTGAAACAGGCGCTCAAAACAGCGAAGATCCACTCCACTGGGGGGGATGGGGGGGTGCGAGGGCCCGCGCCGATCGGCAGAACAATGAATAAGAAGACAATCGCCAGACATCCTCCGACATGAATTGCTTCGATCCGCGGTCCCAAGAATCGGGGAGACGTAAGACTCGGGTCAGGGGGACTCGGGAAGGCCCGACGGGGCCATCGTGAAAACGACGCGACCACATCTGAAATTTGACGCGGGCTCCCGCTGCAGACATCCCACGAGAACTGGACCGTCAAAACCCAAGAAGCTCCCGACCCCTCCCCAGAGCACACCCTTTGCCCTGGGTCCGTCTGTGAGGATCGAGCGAGGATCGAGGATCGAGCCAGAACCGAGGATCGATCGAGGATCGCGGATCGAGGATCGAGGATCCAGGGAGCTCCCGACCCCTCCCCCGAGCACACACTCTTCGCCCACTGGGGTCCCCCTGTGACGGCCCCAGGAGAGGCCCGACAGCTGGCCCCAGGGCCCGACATCTGAGAAAAGCGCTGGACGAGTAAGCCAGAACCCACGGAGACCTGGGGACGACGACGGCGACGGCGACGGCAGTGGCGGCGACGGCGACGTTTCGCATCGTTTCGTAAGCGTTTTGCAAGGGCGGTTCCTGGCCCCGACGCTGCTGAGCTGATCTACTTACTGGATGGCAGCCTGGATTATCTCAAAGTTTGGCGCCATTCAAGCCAAGCACGCTGTCCGTCAGCCCACGACTGCTTAGAGTATGGTTTGGCGAGCCAGTCGACACCAAAATAGTGATAGACATCTTTTTCCCAGCGCCATATTCCTACAGTGCGGTGGGGCAACTGGGAGCCCGAGGAACGTTGCGTAGACGTCATCCAGGCCCTGTCCCGATACCTAAGGACACGATAAGCTATTCGGGGCTGGACTGCGCCATTCCCTGGAGGTGGCCTGCCCATTCGCGGGACGGGCGTCTACAAGTTTGCGGCCACGGCTCGATGTCACATCTAATGCGGGTGGCGGCTACATGTGGCATGGCATTCTTCATATATTCATATGCAGTGTCGGCTGGAGGTGGGCGAACGATTCGCCTCAGCATAGTATTATGACATTTGGAGAGGCGACTAAGCCCCGAGACCGACAGATGCAGGCCCCCGATGCAGCATGCGAGGGCAGGGCGGACACAGCGGCCAAGGGCTTTAAGTCGCTTACTGGGGCGAATGTTGGGGTTGGCAAGCATATTCTTGCGCACAGCCCGCGTGCGCCACGCACGCTGGATCCCACTGCCGACCTCCGCCGCGCAGCTCCGATCAAAGGCAATGTACGTTCCCAAAACCTTGAGGCCGTCCGCCCTTTTCGCGGCAGGGGATCAAGGTGCTTCTCACGCGAAGCGTGCCGATATAAGTAGGATACGCGTGGCACCACTCCATTTCATTGACGGGAACCTCTGGGCCGCTTTTGTTTAAAATGCGGGGCCAAGCCTCGGCCATTGGCGCGGCCATCGAGGCCGAATGGGCTAAAATCCAGAAATTGTCGGCAAAGCTTAAAATCCGGCGCCTTAAAATCCCCCCCCCCCCCCCCCCCCCCCCCCCCCCGCCCCCTGGCATCGTGAGACAGAGCCCCCAACCATTCTGGCTGCAGGGATTATGAAATGTTCGGAGGCCCGCGCCCAGGAAAACGCTGCTTAGCTCGGGCGCCGCGGGGCCCCCCTGGATCAGGCCCCTTTCCCGACGGACACGCTTGGTGAGAGGATTACCAGGCAGTCGGATGCGAGCAGCAGAGTTGCGGGCCCCCCTAATCCAGAAGCTGCTAGCGACGCGGGACACTCCATGCTCATCTAGACGCTGCGCCAGGAGGGGGTGTCGGATGTAGGCATAAAATTTACGGGTATCACACCCAACGACTACGAGTGGTGGGTCTCGATAGTCACAAAACTTCTTGACTAGGTGGCGAAGGCTGCATATAATCTCGCGCGCCTGGTAGATACGACGGAACGCGAACTGGCACTCAGAACGATCGGTATCCAGGAAAGGGCGCTGGACCTCCAGGGCCATCATCGACAGGATTTTCAGCAGCACCGAAACCAGGGCGATGGGTCTGAACTCGGCCACCTTCTGGGCCTCTGGTTTCTTAAGGATCAGCTGAACGACGTGCTCCGTCCAGGCCTGGTCGACATACTCGCCCACGCGATTGCAAAGTCCCAGGCAAAACGCCGCAAGGATCTGTTCGAGAGCATCGCCCTGGAGCCCCTGGATCATCTCAGCCACGATCATGTCAGACTCGGCGCACGATTTGCTACTCTTCAATTGCCCGATGACTGCTTTGAGGAGAGGATGGGAGAGAGGAACCTCCGCCTGCTGGTGCTCGGCGGTCCACTGGCGGCGCACCCAGGCGGGCAGAGCCTGGTCGCTGGTCGGGTCGGCAAACAGGTTGGCGCAGAAGGCGCGGGTCAGCTCGCAGCGGGCCTGCACGGCGCTGGCGCCTTGGCCGTCGTCCGTCTTCAGCTCGCAGACGGGCTTGCCCGAGCGGTAGGGTCTGTCGGCCCGACCCCCCGCGCACAAGCGCTCCAGGTGGACCGCGTTGCAGCGGCCCCTCAGGGCGCGCTCGGCCTTGGCCACCGCGGGCCCCAGCAGGTGCCGCGCGCGCGCATGTCCGCCTCCTGCGCGCGCAGCTGCCCCAGGCGCTTCAGGTGGAGGAGCTCGGGGTCTCCCCGTGGAGGCCGCCAGCGCCCGCGCCGAGGGGCGCGGCTGGCCGCGGCTGCACCAGCGGAGACCGCCGTCGACAGCGCGGAGATGGACGGGGCGCCCTGTCTGGAGCACGCGGCCAGCCGCGGCTGCGGGTTGAAGAGCTGCGCGGAGGTGTCGGCGCCACCCTCCCTGGCTATCTCGGAGCAACGTCGTTTGCGGGCTCTAGTCTCGGCGAGCTTGTGTTCACTAACTCGTTGGCGATACTCTTCCGCTCCCCAGTCGTGGGCAGGGTATGACCGTCTCCAATGAGCAGTGTTGAACCGCCTGTCCGCACCCCGTTTCGCCCAGAAGTCCGCCTTCTCGTTGCCTAGGTTGCCGCTGTGGCCCTTGACCCAGCGGATGCGCATGTCAAAAAGCAGGGAAGCCCGCTTCCACAAGTGCACGGCCAGAATCGCCAAGCGTGCATTCTCGCGTGGTTGACAAACTTCAGTGAGGAACCCCTGGACGCACGTCGAGTCGGTGATCACCTGGATGAGCCCGCCGTCCTGGGCCGTCGGCTCCGAGGAGCCGCGCTGTCCCAGCAGCCACAGGAGCGCCTCCACGATCGCCGAGAGCCCGCCCGCGTTCGCCGTGAGGGCACAGGCGCCCAAGAAGCGGGGGTCCAGGGGGTGGGTGTGACCACGGGGCCGCACGCCTCGACCATCGGCTCATCCTGGTCGCGCGGCGTGGCGGCGCGGTAGACGGCGAAGCCCCAGCCTGCGCTAGAAGCCCGGCGCTGCCCACACCATCGCCCCCGCGCCGAGCCGTCCGTGGAGATGCCCAGCGCGTTCGCGAGGTCGCCCTCGGTGAAGCCGCCCGTCGCGGTCGGGAAGCACGGCACCTGCAGCGTCGAACAGACCGTCTCGTTGAATAAGTGGGCGTCCTCCAGCTGCCAAGCGACGGGCTTGCGCGGCGGCCGTTCCAGACCTGCGTCCTCGAGGGCCTGCTCGGGCCCGGAGATCGTCGGGATAGCCTTGGACGCATGGCAGCGCAGCAGCAGGGGGAGATGGTCGCTCTGCTCTGCATCCGTGAAGCGAGCCCGGCACGTCGCTGAGGTGAGCCAGTCGCGGCGGCACAACATGAAGTCGATCTGGCCTGGCTCCTTACGGTTGCCGCAGTAGCACGCAGCTTGCCCCCACTGTCCTCGGGAGAAGGTGTTGGTGGCAACTAAGTCAAATTCAGTCATCAAGTCGAATAGCATTTCGCCCCGCCAGGTCATCTTGGTGGCCGAGTGTTGGCCAAACGTCTCTCCGTCTCCAAACCCCAGGCCATCCTGGGCGTCAAAGCTGACTATGGCGTGGCAATCAATAGGCATTGTAATCAGACGCTCCCTGAGCTGCGCAATGGTCTCAGCGTACTCACAACAAACGATATGCGAGAACTGGTGGCTAGTAATCAAACGAACGCGTCCCTAGATAGGCAACTGTAAGTCCACGGACACGGTGCGAGCGTGGAAGCTCGGCGGGCTCACGATGGAAGGGGCCAGAGACCCGTGGACCGCAATCGCGCATCTTTGCCAGGCCCCCGCTGGAGGCGACACGTGGACGACATAGCCATCGAAGAGCTGCTCGGCTCCACCAGCCGCGCACCATTCTTGGAAAAGGATAACGCGAGCATCAAATTCTGCGTGCAGATCGTCGAGGAGCTGTTGCCGCCTCCTGGATCCACGGACGCCTCTCACATTCCACCCCAGAACTGCAAGGTCCCTGACGTCCCTGGCGAAGCGGCGGCCCCTCGACTTTAATCACTGGGGCCTGGGAGGGTCGTTGATCTCCCCGAGCCGCTCGGGGAGCTTGAACTCTGCTAGCTCCTGGTCCAACAGAGCCTTGGCCAGCGGCTCGGTGCAGATCTCCATCAAGTCCGCGGTGCGCGAGCGCTGCAAGATCCTGATCGGCCTCTCGCCCCCGCTGCGGCGGAAGACCACCTGGCCACGGCCCCAGTCGCCGTCGAAGGTCTTCATCTTCGAGTCCGCGTTGCAGAGGTTCTTGGCCTCCCCGCACTCTCTGAGCAGCCTCACAGCGTAGGAGACGCGCCGCGAGAGCTCCACCTCATGGGGCTCCCGGTCTACCTTGTGCCACAGCTGGTCATTCTTGGCCCCCTGGCACGGAATCTTTCTCCCCTTCCAGGCCTTCATGAAGTTCCACATCTGCCGATTGCTGCCGAAGACCACCTTCGCCTGATCACAGAAGCAACCGACGCCGCAAATCTCCGTGATGTCTTGCGACTCAAGCGTCGCCCTCTCACTCAGCTTCGATCGAAGGCGGGCCTCGACCTCATCCTTATCCCAAGTGCCAGGGAAGCCCGCCACGAACACCACATGCTTCGTATTCTTCCCTCCGCGCGGAGCCTGGGGAGCCACGAACTGGCGTTGCTCGTTGGGGCCCCTGCGCAGATAGTCGCTCCACGGGTCGGCCTGGCACGCCTGTCCTGATCCCAGCCCTGGCCGCAGAGGACCTCCGCGTCCTGCAGCCGTGCTGGCATTCGACGACGGAGCTCGCGAGGCCGCCTCCAGTGCGTCGAGTCGCGCACGCTGGGCCCGCTGCTCCGCCTGGATGGACGAGATGGAGGCCGAGCTGGCACTCCCCGTGGTCTGCAATGCCGAGACCTGGGCTTCGACGGCGTCCACCTTCACACTCATGCTGGTGGTCACTGCGCTGATGATGTACTGAGCGAGCGCCATCTGCGACGGGTCTTGCGGGGGCGGCGGCAGCTTGGCGCGACCGTCTCCTCCCGCAGGGGCGGCCAGGCCGACTCCGCCAGCCGCAGCTTGCCCAGCCTCGGCGTCCGTCAGCTCCTCGTCGTCCAGGTCCACGGCAGGAGGCTCGCCTGTCTTCTGGCGAATCCGTCGGCCGTCTGCGTCCACCCCCGCGCAGCCGCTCGAGGCCGCGGCAGCGGCAGCGGGAGGCGGGGGCATTGGCGCGAACATGGCTGCAGCAAAATGCGCGCTCCAAGTTCGTGTGGTGAGAATGCGAGAAGCTCGGGCCAGGCCGAGCAAAAGAACGTCTCAGGTCGGCGGGCAGCTCGACCAGGACTCGAAAGGTGCCCGTCCTGCCAGGGTGCCGTCTTGAGCCAAAATGGCGACGGCGACGGCGACGGCGACGGCGAGCATCGAGCATCGAGGATCGATCGAGAGTCGAGGATCGTGGGTCGAAGATCGAGGATCGAGGGTCGAGGATCGAGGGTCGAGGATCAAGCGAGGATCGAGGACCGATGGTCGAGGATCGAGCATCGATCGAGAATCGTCGAGGATCGAGGATCGATCGAAGATCGAGGGTCGAGGATCGAGGATCGAGCGAGGATCGAGGGTCGAGGATCGATCGAAGATCGAGGATCGATGGCCGCGGGCCAGCGGCCGCGAGGGCCGCCGGCCGTGCCGCCCCCCCCATCGCACCGCCTTCCAGGATGCCGATCACGGCCGTGATGGCCTGCAGCTCCTCTGGCGGGGGCGACGGAGGAGGAGGGAGGAGGAGGAGGAGGAGGGAGGAGGAGGAGGAGGAGGAGGAGGAGGAGAAGGAGGAGGAGAGGGAGGAGGAGAGGGGGAGGAGGAGGAGGAGGAGGAGGAGGAGGAGGAGGAGGAGGAGGAGGACAGGAGGAGAGGGAGAAAGAGGAGACCAGGTGGAATGGAAGGTGGAGGTCGAGGATCGAGGAGTTGGGTGTCCTCGTCACTGCCCCGGGGAGGAGAGGAAGAGAAGGCGGGGGATTCGCTGAATCCGAGGCTTCTGCAACCACGGGGAGCTCGAGCTCCGTGCCCTTCGACGGCCCGCGACGCGGCCCCCTTCTGGGCGCCCGCAGTGCCGCCCCGCGGGAGCCTCGCCCGGGCTCCGCGCCCGCAGATCCACCGCCGGCGGGAGCGGGCAGGGTGCATAGGAGGAGGGAGGCAGGGAGGAGGAGCAGAAGCAGGAGGGGACACGAGGGGGGCCACAGGGGGGAGGGAGGAAGGAGAGGACTGGAGGAGGGGGAGGGGCGGGGAGGAGGTCGAGGATACGTGCGCCACCGTCATCATCGCCATCACTAGCATCCTTGTCTTACTCATCCGCATCACCAGACTCATAAACGTCACTGACACTGTTGGCATCGGCATCAGCACCCACATAATTGGGATCATCCACATGACCAGTAAGATCATCATCAGCATCATCAACAACAACATCGTTATCACAATCACCACCATCACGATCGCCATCGCCATCACCATCATCAGCATCATCACCAGCACCAGTACTGCCAGCATCATCATGGTAATCAGCATCATGATCATCAGCATCATCAGCAACATCATCGTCACCGTCCACCTCATCATCAACAGAAGCAATATCATCAGCAGCATGTGCAGCAGCATGATCATCATCATCATCATCATCATCAGCAGCAGCATCAGCATCAGCATTAGCATTATCACCATCGTCATCGTCATCGTGGTCGTCATCATCATCGTCATCGGCATCGTCATCGTCACCGTCATCATCCTCAGCCTCAGCATCAGCATCGTCACCTTCATCATCGTCATCAGCATCATCATCAACATTATCATTATCATCATCCTCATCACCGTCAACGCATTCGTTAGCATCGTCATCATCACCATCATCAGCAACAGCATCATCAGCATCATCATCATCATCATCATCATCATCATCATCAGCATCATCATCATCGTCATCAGCATCATCAGCGGCATCATCACAATCGTCGTCGCGATCAGCATCACCATCATCATCAGCAGCATCATCATCAACATCATCATCACCATCGTCATCATATCATATCCGTCGTCACCTTCATCACTTCACGATAAAAAAAACATTATACTCGTCCTCCTACTCCTCATCATCAACATCATCAGCAGCATCATCATCCTCGTCGTCATCTTCAGCACACCAGTCACCATCATAACATATTCGTCTTCATCGACGTCCTCGTCCTCGTCCACGTCCTCGACCGTCGTCGTCGTCGTCGTCGTCGTCGTCGTCGACGTCGTCATCATTCATGTCGTCCCCTCCCCGTGGTTGTCCTCGACCTCTCCTCGTCCCTGTCCTCCTCCTCCTCCAACCTCGACGGTGGCAGCTGCGCCTTTCGCTTCGTCCGTGATTCAGTGCAGCCCTCAGTTATGGAGACGGCGGCGGAAGCCAGCGCTCCTTCGCTTCCTGTGGCAGGACAAGAAGCCCTTGATTTAATCATGCAGACCTGGACTCCGCTCTGGGTTAACGCAAGGCGTGCTTGCGAGCCACACCCTGCGTCGTGGGAGCTCTCACGGCCCTCTACTGATGAAGTGGAGACTGGTGGAAGCGCGAGCCCGCGGGGGGTCCACCCGAGGCCCGAGGTTGGCGGTACGCCGGTGGGAAGGCTTGACGCGTACGCCGAAATCCCACCCATCACTCTTGAGCAGCTCGATCGAGTGCTCCAGAGTTCCCCAGCCAACTCAGGATTGGGGTGGGATAAGTTTCACCCCAGGCAGACGACTTTTCTCCCAGGCTCGTATCGGCAGGCATTCCTGGACGTCCTGCATGCGTGGGTGAGAGCACCAGAAGATCAGGACCTCTGGACGCTTCTGGTCTTCTTTTTAAGCAAGCCCAACCCCCCAGGGGGTGTGAGACCCATCGTCCTGTTCTCCCTCTGGGCTCGGGTGTGGTCGAGGTGTCGTCAGGTCGTTGCTCGTCGTTGGGAGATGTCTCTGACGAATGCCGCCTTCTGGGGGGATTCGGGGCACACCTGTGATAGCTCAGGGCTGGTGCACAATGTGCTCCAGCGGTTCGCTCGTCTGAAGGGGTTGTCGGCTGCCAGTGGGCTGCTGGACCTCTCTAAATGTTATGAGTACCTCTCGCATGGTGAGCTTAAAAGGGAAGCCATCAACACTGGCTTTCTGCTAGCGCTTCTCCGTAGCCTCTGCTCGGCGTATAGGCTTCCTCGGCGTGCGGTGTGGCAGGGAGCGGTTGCGCCTGCGGTGGAGGCTCATGGGACTGTCGCTGCGGGGTGCAGCTATGCGTTGGCGCTGGCGAAGCTGCTGGTGCACACGCTACTCGTGAAGTTGCAAGCCAGGTTCCCCGCGGTTCGATTTCAAAACCTCGTGGACGATGTTTTGCTCCAGGCGCTCGGCACTGCTGAGCAGGTTCTTTCCCAGTTTTCTGAGGCCATGATGGTTTTGCTCCGTGGTCTCCAGGAGAACACCTGCGGGTCAACTGGGATAAGACTGGCTATTTAACATCCTCTGTAGAGCTGGCAGTGCAGCTCAACGCTAGGTGGTCTCTCGGCGATGAGGATCGACTCATCGGGACCAGGTGACTGGGGTGACTGGGCACCGATGCGAATGACGGGTCGGCTCGGAGGGTGGGGGAGCAGGATAAACGAATCGCCAAGGCCAAGAGAGCCTCGGCGGGAGTTCAGCAGCTCAGAGCTGCTGGCGCTGCTGTCAGCACCATTCAGAGGGGGTCTCCTACGGCGACGGCGGCGTGGGGGAGTGCGGTCCCTGGTCTATCAGACCACAAGTCACATGAGTTGAGAGTGTCGGCCCTTCGCGCTGAGGGCAGCCTCCCTGCAGGCACCTCGGTAGGCCTTCGATTGCGCGTGTCTCCCAGGGGCTCCTTCAGGGACCCTTGGGTTGCGCACGCTGCAGAAGTGGCGAAGCAGTGGGCTCTTTCGGCCCTCTCTGAGCCGCCTGGGCGTGGCCCTATGCAGGGTTGCTGGGTTGCTGGTAAGGGTCCCCTCGGCAAAGCCAAGCCCTGGGCTCACTATATCGATCCTGGGCAGGTTGTGCTGCTTTGCATGGCGCGCATTGGCGTTGCGATGCCCTCGGCCTTCCCTTTGGTCTGGGCCTCGAGTTTTCCTTGCTGGAATTCACGCTAGGATCTATCGCGGAGCGTGCGAAGCAAGCTGCGCCGGTTTCCTCTGACGTTCTTGCTCTGGCTAGAACTGAAAAGGGGTGGCGGGGGGCTCTGCACTGGGGGCCTCTCAATCACCTCCTCTCTCGCAGTGCCACGGGCACCTGGACGCAGCATCAGAAGGCGGCGCTGCGGAGCTTGGTGGGTGGCTCCCACTGGCCACAAGCGCGGCGCTTCAGCCATGGCAAGGCCCAGCATGGTTGGTGCTCGATCTGTGGAGGACCAGGCACGCCGTTTCATCGGTTTTACGAGTGCCCGTGCACCGAGGCACACAGACGTGACGAGTGCCCGCCACATGCGCGGGAAGCTGCCAGAAAAGTGAGCTCACTGGCGCCAGAGATGATGGACATGTTCCCGTCTCCAGCCCGTTGCTTTCACATTCCGGAGGCCAATCTCGAGGACCAGCTGATCTGGATTGGGGTCCCCGAGGGCTGGAAGTTGTCGGGAAAAGTTGTTGTGGACGGCAGCACGCTAAAAACTCGGTTTTCGGGGCTCTCTCGCGCTGGGTGGTCCATCGTCCAGATTGATGGGAGCGGTCGCCTGGTGGCAGGCGCCTTTGGAGTGGTTCCTCTCAGTTACGCGCCCAACCAAGTGGCGCGAGATGGAGAGGATCGAGCCTTTCAGGTCTTGGCTGAATACTCTGAGTGGAATGCGGAAGATCCCCTCACAGTTTACTCAGACTGTGCGGGTTCGATCGAGTGTGCGGTGAATCTAGGCCTGGCGCCCGACCCCATGAATTCTAGAGGGCACTTTTGGATCCGCTGATGGGAGGGGATCGGCCACCAGGCGTCTGTTGTAAAGGTCAAGGCGCATCGTGCGCGCTCCACGGCCACCAGCTTTGAAGATGGTTGGCTGATCCTCGGGCGGACCGCTGGGCGAAAAAAGGTGCTCTGAGGTGGTCGGTACCCTCCCCCCCGCAGATCGCCTTTGTACAGGGGCTAGAGGCCATGGCCCACGATGTCTCAAGATGGCATGCGAGGGCCCAACAGTTGATGGTTGATGGGAGGTTCGTCGACTCTGAGGGGGTTGTGGGGACCTCGGATATCACATT